AAAATCTTACATTTTTTCAACTCTGACATCAGTTTCTGTTGAATAAATTTAATAATAATCATATGGACATTCTTCCTTGTATTATATTATTATCGATATTATCCTATCATTGACAGCATTCTACTTCAGGATAGATCTTGAAATGTTCAATTTGACACAGAATGTGACACTCACTATTCCTCTTTAATTTGTCATTCCCAGCTTAGTAGACCACAGGTTTATCCTATTCAAAATGTCCAATAACAATTCATTTCAGCTCACTGATGTCTAGAATATGGATTTTCAAGTTTCATTTTTAGTTTTGACAAATTCCAGTTACCTAGATTCATACTCTATACATTCTACATTCCTACTGTTAATGAATATTTCAACTGTTCTTTTAATTTTGAGTCATACATTGACACACTGAAAACTTTACCCATGTCATTAACTTCAACTCAACTTTGAGGACACAGTTCTTTCCAAGTCATATTTTGAATGCCTTCCAACCTAAAGGGCTTATCTTCCAGCACTGTACCAAAGTTGCTGTTCATATGTCTTCAGCTGGACAATTTTTTTTAGAAGTAGATCACTATCCTCTTCTTCCTAGTCTTAGTCTGGAGCTATGCTGTGTTTAAAATATAGGGGCTTAGCTGCCAGTATCACAGAAATGCACAAGCCATCAAACTACAACAAAGTAAAAGACAAGTGGTTTAATAGATGTAATAGTCTCCAAAAACTCTATAACAGACTTCTACTTGAGTGATCTTATCTAGTTCAACCAAGTTCAGCTCTACTGAACCACTGAGTATAAACTTAGGAGCTAAACACATTTTTATCATTTTAAGTCAAATAAATGAATGCTTGCTATATCATTTAGGTATTAGTGACTTATTTTGAGTGAGGAAACTTATATAAATACTGCCTAAAGCACTTGGCTGCTAACCAGAAGGCTGGTGGTTCAAAACCACCAGCCACTCCTTGGAAGGAAGATGGGACAATCTACGTCCATAGTGATACTGCCTCGGAAACCCAAGGAGGGGTTGCTATGAGTCGGGTCTTACTCGACAGCACATAACAACAACAACAACAAATATATATATATATATATGTGTGTATATATATATATATATATATATATATATATATATACAATATACATGAATGCATTGTCTGCACTACATTCATTTTAGAAATATATTCTGGTAGCAAATATATACAAATATGTAGATTTTGCTTTATTTTATTACAATAATAGTTAAAGCTATGTAGAATATCTGTCACATACCAATCATTATGCTGTTTTAGAAACATAATGTGAATTAAAACTCACCAAAACAAAAATAAATAAATGATTTTTAGGCATCTCATTCACTTTATAAAAGGAGGCCCTATAGATATGTGAATAGAAGAGGTGTGCTTAAATTTCTGATGTGAATCATTGCAAATAAGCTTTAGTTTGCATCATACCTTGCTGCTCTCACTAAACTTGATGGCAGTGAGTTTGTTTGTTTTTTAGTTCCACAGTGTATAGAAAAGCTTGTTGTTACTGTTGTTATGTGCTATTGAGTTGGACGCAACTCACAGCGACCCCTCCTTGTGTTCCCAAGAAATTTCTTAGTTGGCATGCATCTTATGAGTTTGAAGTTCTGGTGGCACAATGACTAAGACATCTGACTGCTGACCAGAAGGTTGGCAGTTCAAACTCACAGGTCCCTCCACTTAAGGAAGATGGGGCAATCTACTTCCCTAAGGATTTACTACCTTGGAAACCCAATGTGGTTGCTATGAGTCAAAATTGACTTGATTGCAGTGTTTTGGGTTTTTTTTTATGATTTTAGTATTAAAGACTTTGATTAAATAGCCCTCTAAAATTTATGTTCTACCTACAATTTTACTAAAATTAATGAGCCTGAATTTAAGGTCAAGTTGATACAGAAGCAATCACAACTATTATTAGTACAACCTCTTTTATCCACTGACACATGTTCCAAATGGACAATATGTTTTGCTGAGAAAGTGAATTTAATAGTAGCCACAGTACTTTTCTCCAAATTAGATTTCACTTATTTTTGGCTTACTTATTCTGTTTTGAGCAGCGGAATTTTTTTTTTTTTTTTTTTTCCAAAGAACTAAGCCGTAAACCCAAGAATGTACTAAGTGGCAGCCAAATATGGGCATATAGCAGGTAAAGCTTTGGAGACAGAAAGATATTAGTTTAGATCCTGCCTCCAACACTCACTGACCATTAAAAAAAAAAAATCCAACTCATTGCCATTAAATGGATTCTGACTCATAGAGACCTCCTTTGGTTTCTGAGGCAGTAAATCTTTACAGAAGTAGATTGCCCAGTCTTCCTTTTGCAAAGTGGCTGGTGGGTTTGAACCATCAAACTTCTGATTAGTGGTCAAATGCATTAGTCATTATGCCACCAGAACTGCTTCACTGATCATTACTCTTACTATGAGAAAATTATCTCTTTGAGACTAAAATTCTTCATCTACAATGTTGGAGCACTAGGTTCATCTTCTATTTTTTTTTTTTTTCCTTTTAGCATGAAACATGATAATATATGGAAAGCAATTATCACATTACCCACTATTTAGTCTGTTCACATTGAGCCAATTCTGACTTATATCTACCTTACAAGCAAGAGAAGAACTGCCTTATAGAATTTCCAAGGCTGTAATCTTTACAGAAACACTGGCAGTTCAAACCCATCAACCACTCCTCAGATGACTAGGCAATCTACTTCTGTAGAGATATTCCCTTAGAAACACAAGGAGAGGTCACTCTGACTCAGAACTTACTCAGTGACAATGAATTTTGTTTTGGTAATCTTTACAGAAACAGACTGCCATACCTTTCTCCTGTACAGTGGCTGGTGGGTTCAAACCACAGCCTAGGACTTGCCCACTGTGCCACTAAGTCTCATACCTAACATTTAATAAGTGTTAAATAAATGTTAGGTATTAATGTTAGGAAATGAAATCAAAATTTAACAAATAAATCATTGCAAGTTGTTCCTTACCACATTCTAGTTGGAGGCCAACCCGGGAAGGACACCATTTTGGACCTGTTCAAGAAAAATAATTGCATTTAACTTTCAGGAAAATTAATGACATATTTTATAAATCTAGTAATTTCCATTGAAAGATAAATTAAATCTTACTAAGTGAATAAAATAACCACCCAATTTAAAAGTGTATGTAATGACTACTTTTGGCAGGAGGTTCTTGAGGAGTGGTGGATATTGGCTAGATAAGGACAAGAGTGGAGGTAAAAGAATGCTGATAATTTCCTGCTTCTTGATCTATGTAATAATTACATAGGTGTGTTCAATGTATGGAAGCTCTGGTAGGGTAGTGCTTAAAGCATTTGACTACCAACCAGAGGCTGGTGGTTCAAATCCACCAGCCACTCCTAAGAAGGAAGGTTGGGCAATCAACTTCCATAGTGATACCACCTCAGAAACCTAAGTAGGGCTCACTATGAGTCTGATCCAACTTGACAGGAGTGAGTGAGTTCAATGTGTGGTCATGTACTAAGCTGTGGAACTTAGGAATTGTGTACCTTATTCTACATAATTTATTCTTTAATAAAAAGCTCATAGATATACTTCTAAAACCAAGATCATTCTGCCTTTTAACATTTATTTCATATTGGTACCCAAAAGTGTGTTCTTTTCTCTATCTTAAATAACACTTCCATGGTAATATGCAATATTGACTTCTAATATTTCAGAAATATATTGATGATAACAGAAATACTGACTTCAGAATATTCTCGTTATACTGCCTTTAGGAATATATACAATAATATTTTTTTATTCTATATTTGAAGTTGGAAGTTACAATCTATATAGATAAAACAAAAAATATTTTTACTATAACACCACAATGAAAAGTCAATTCATAATAACCAAATATTATTTTAATTCTCTTAAAATAAATCTCATGTGAAGATTTTGATGTTTCTATGGAAACTACAAGAAAAATCCATGTCCTTTCAATTCTTTCAACAAGGATAAACTTTATTTACTTGCAAAATAAATTTAGCATATATAGGTTTTTAGCAATGTGTCCCATTGAAAAAAGAGTTATCAATTGCATATATAAGCCTTTACATTAGTTTCAGTCATCTTTTCAAAATGGTAAAATATGCATTTGCTCAAATGCTATGTGCTTATTGGGGTGAGGCATGTTAGCCTGGGAGAAGGGCACAAAAAAAGATAGTTATTAAATCATCGAGTGTCCTAAAGGGATACTTAGCATATATAAGCTGTTTGTAAACTAATTTATAATTCTGAGTGCATTGAAGTTGGGTAAAGTATGATCATGTGGCAGTTTCCATTGAATCTGCCAATATATAATTAGTTGAACTTTATTTGTGTAATTCCTTCCATATTCTATACATGCCTTAAAGTCTTTTCCTTGATATTTGCAAATGTTCATATTATTTTGTAATAACAATCCAGAGGAGTAATGCCTTTCTGTAATTAAAACATTTCAACAGACAATTGTGATTTTCAAAATTGATGTTTGTGACCTATTAGTAAGTTTCAGTGGATATACTATGACATTCATATCTTTAATAAATAAATAAATACAATGGAATGGGATGAAACAGTAGGAATGTAATTGGATTAGATAGGATGGAATGGTAAAGATGGATAGAATAGAATGAAATGAATGCCAGGGTTTTAGATATAATATATCACAGTGACTTACAGATAGGATAAATATTGTTTCTTGAAGATTTTTTTCAATAGTTTAAATTCCATAAATCTGTTTCTACTTTATTTATTTACTTACTTACCTTTTTAAGATTAATATTTATTTCTAATTCTCAGCCATGAGAGCTCTAGTGGCATGGTACCTAAGGTATTTTACTGCTAGCCAGAAGGCTGGAAGTTCAAATCCACCAGCCACTCCTTGGAAAGAAGATTGGGTGATCTAATTCAGTAGTGATACTACTTGGGAGTCGCTATGAATTCGATCCAACTCAAGAGGAGTGAGGTGTTTTTTTTTGTTTTGTTTTATTTTGAATTCTCAGCCAAAGTAACATATTTGAAACAAATTTCCAAATATATTTCCAAATATATGTATGTATGTATATATATATATATATAATTTACATTTGTGGTGGCATAGTGCAGGAGCTCTGCTGGCATAGTGATAGTGCCTAAGGGATTTGACTGCTAACTAGAAGACTTGTGGTTCAAAATCACTATCCACTCCTTGGAAGGAAGATTGGACAATCTATTTCTATAGAGATACCACCTTGGAAACCCAAGAAGGGGTCTCTATGAGTCAGGATCAACTGGACAGCAGTGAAGAATTTTATTTTTTTTTTAATATTTATTAAGGAGATTTTACATAAAACTGCTATTCTTTATTAAATTAAATGCTGAGAGGAAAAACAATTTTAAATATTTGGTTGTTTTTACTATTAAAATTATGCATTTAAATTGCCCATGATTATGGAAGAAGTAGTGCATTATGAATTGTATTGGGAATAAATAATCTAGAATATATTATGATTTATAAAGTACATATGTCACGTCCCTCCCCCTACTTTGTTTTAACCTAAGGCTGTGTTAATAGTCATCATTTTGCTTATGATCAGTATTTCTCCCATAGGATATTGGGCTACAGAAAAAGAAAATAAAATAAAATAATAAATGTACCACTTTTGTGCTTCCAGAGGTCCAAATTTAGCAATGTAAAAAAAAAAAAAAATAGCAATAAATAAATGATGGTTGATATTTTACTTATTGTGTTATGTACTTCTTTTTTCTGTCTATGCAAATATATAAAACCTTTTGCCATTGAGCTGATTCCAACTCACAGAACCCTATAGGGTAGAGTAGAACTGCCCAGTGAAGTTTCCAAGGCTACAAATCTTTATAGAAATAAACTACTTTATTTTTCTCCAGCAAACTGGGATTTGAACAGCTGAATTTTGCTTAAACCACTGCACTATCAGAGCTCCTTATGCAAGTATATAGTTAAACAGAAATCCAGAAAAATGCTTCAAGTATACACAGATCATGTTATTTAGCATGGCAATTTTTAGGACATTAAATAATAATATAACTGGTTCATGATTTGGGATGGTAATAATAAATAACATATTCATGAAACAGGGCTCATATTATTGTAATAGATGAGATATTTAGGAGAACAAATATTGGAGAAATTTCTCAGAAAAATTACTGGGGAAGTATGCTTAATTAGCTAGAAGATTTAATTATTTACTAATACATGACCCCTCACTTTATGCTTATCTTGACATACGAATAGCACTAGGTTGGAGAAATCCTAAGAGGCCTTAAGGAATAAAAGAAACATATTTAATATGATATAATATTAATAGTAGATCACGAGGTTTCCTGAAGAGAAAGACAACAATGATCAATGTGTGTTGTTGAAATTTTAGGTTTTCTATGGAGAGTTATAAGATAAGATAAAGGATAAAAGAACGGAAACTAAGAAGTATTCAATGCAGGACTGGCTCTGGTCAAAGATTTAGTGGATAATGGTAAACAATTTTCTTCCAGTTTCTATGTGGTCCAGTTCACATCATCAAGATTTCAGAACTGGATATAGGACAAATTAAATGCATTTGCCTGGATTGTCCACTGTAGCCTGCCTATTAGATAAGATTAGAAGTTAATACTAAATTGAGAGCTGACAGCTATAGCAAGGAAGAAGCAAAGGAGGCATCACATTTCTATATACTCTATTTTAGAAAATAGATTCTAAATGTTCAAACAAATTGACTATGACCCATATGAACAACATATTAAGGAAATATACGAAAATACAGTGTCATAAAATTTAAAATGTATCAATTGCATTTGTAATTACCCATTTGAAAATAAAAGATAAATGATATATGAAACATTAGGCTGCTCCCTCTTGAATTTAGAGACCATCTAAAGAATAGATTTGATGTTTTGAACACCAATGACCAAAAACCAGAGGAATTATGGGATTACATCAAAAACATCATCCATGAAGAAAGAACAAGTTCATTAAAAAGACAGGAATGGAAGACCAAAATGGATGTCAGAAGCAAATGGAAGAAATGACAAGCTAAAAGAGCTGAACAGATTTCATACCATACCTCGAGAAGATAACGTCAATTATTATATTGAAATATGCAAAGACCTGGAGTTAGAAAAACAAAAGGGAAAAACACAGTCAGCATTTCTCAAGCTGAAAGAACTGAGGAAAAAAAACTTAACCCTTGCTTGCAATATTGAAAGATTCTATGGGCAAAATAGTGAATGATGTGGGAAGCTGAAGGAATACACAGAGTCACTGTACCAAAAAGAATTGTTCCATGTTCATCAATTTCAGGAGAATGTCATATGATCAAGAACTGATGGTATTGAAGAAAGAAGTTGTAGCTGCACTGAAAGAATTGGCAAAAAGCACAGCTTCAGGAACTGACAGAATACACCCTGAGATGTTTCAACAAATGGATGCCATACTGGAGACACTTGCCTATGCAAAGAGATTTGGAATACAGCTACCTGGCCAACTGACTAGAAGAGATCCATATTGGTACCCATTCCAAAGAAAGGTGATTCCACAAAATGTGGAAATTATTGAACAATATCATTAACATCACACACAAATCAAATCTTACTGAAGATAATTCAAAAATGATTGCAGCAGTATACTGACAGAGAACATCCAGAACCGCAAACTGGATTCAGAAGAGAATGTGGAATGAGGGATATCATTGCTCACATCAGATGGATCATGGCTGAAAGCAAAAACTACCAGAAAGTTGTTTACTAATGTTTTATTGATTATGCAAAAGCATTTTATCCTGTGGATCACAACAAATTATGAATAACATTGAGAAGAATGGGCATCACAGATCAATTAATTGTGCTCATGAGGAACTTGTACATAGACCAAGAGTATGTTGCTCAAACAGAACAAGGGGACACTGCATGGTTTAAAATCAAGAAGGGAGTGCATCAGGGTTGTATCCTTTCACCATACTAATTCAACTTTTATGCTGAGCAAATCATCTGAGAAG